GAGGAACGTTGTGATTTTCGCTACAATGCAATAGTGAAGAGGACAGATGATATGGATTGATCATAGTGTTGTAATTTTTAATTTATCTTTAATTTATTAGTTATATAATTAGTAAATGATTTTGTCAAATATCAAACAATTCTAAATACAAGACACGTACACACTAGTTGAACAATTTATATATAATGTACGTGACCAAACCAGATCAAACCAGCAAATTATATTCCAAGTAAAAATATCAGGTCATGTGTTCAAGGTTCTCTTTAATTACATTTTACCCTTGTGTTTTGATTGAGTTTTAAATACTTCGTTGTCTTACTTTTTATTGTTTGATATCATTGGTGCGGCATTGAAGCATTTGTACTGATGTGCAATTGATGTTTACCCCTCCGACGGCTCTGGCCTCTGAGTACGAGTTGCAGTATGCTAGAGTAAAATAGACAAAGAGAAAAAAGTGAGCCATAAAGTATAAGTAGGCTTAATTAGAAGGCTTTTAGTGGGAGTTGGAATAGAGTAAAATAGACAGAGAGAAAAAAAGAGCCATAAAGTATAAGTAGGCTTAATTAGAAGGCTTTTAGTAGGAGTTGGATATGCATTGGGGTGGGCATTGGAATATGATAGACTAAAATAGCTAAAGAAAAAAATGAAGTCATAAAGTTGGCTTACTTATAAATAGTAATAGCCAGATATGGGGAGGAAATGATAAAAGTGTGGGACTTTTGAGCTCACGGGAGTTCAAAACAAAATAGGGTTGAGGAAAAAAAATCGCTCAGGAAAAAAAAATCTATTCGTACCCACTATTCCGAATGCATTTATTTAATAATAGTAATGCACTTGAATAATCGAATACACACTGAAATAACATAACTCCAGTGGAACCAATCTCATTCCTCACTTTGAGATTATTCATGTACTCTTTTCAACGATAAAATATTACTACCTCCGTCCCTCTAAATTTGGGACAAGAGAAAGTGGCACAGTTATTAATAAAAGTGGGTTTATGTGGTTGATATTGAATTGATAAAGTAAGAATAAAGTAGGAATGATTTAGAACTACACAAACTTTGACATAAAAGATATGAGACAATCTTAGTGGGACGGACCGAAATGGTATAATGGGACAATCATAGCGGGACGGAGTGAGTAGCAAAAACGGTTACTCCCTCCGTCCCATTTTGGATGTCCTACTTTCCTTTTTTGGTTGTCCCAAAATGAATGTCTTGTTTCCTTTTTGGCAAGAAATATGTTGTTCTTATCATTTCACTTTATTCTACTCAAATCTCAACCACAACTTTTACTTTTCAACCACTTTATTAATAAGCGTACCAAATTGAAAGTGGACAACCATTATGGGACGGAGTAGTATGACTTATGAGTAAAATATACTAGTACTCGTATGATGTAATAAATACAATATATAAATTTACGTCAATTCTATACATGCATTTTTACATTTTATTTTCAAAATCTTGATTGTTCTCATGAACACCCTTGCATAAAGGGCGTCCACCTGTCTGTCAACTACAACCTGCGTCCCCCTAAGTTTGGAATAAAGGGGTGTGGTGTTGTTTTTAAGATAAAGTAGAATTGTGTAGTTGGTATTGAATTGATAAAGTGTAAATAAAGTAGGAATGAATTCTAGACACTCAAATATTACCTAATATGATATGGAACAAATTTAATGGGACGAACGAAAAAGGTAAAACGGGACAAAGTTAGGGGTTGAAAGAAGGGATAAGGGTCAGATAGAGCCTCGAACTTGAAAAAAAATGTCAAATAAGGCCATATTTAGGATGCTCTGTCCGGCCGACGCCATTTGGGGTGGTTCCCGGTGGAATTTTTTGATGATTTTTTTTAGAATCTTATTCATTAAGTCTAGTTTACTCATATCAAATTTGAACTAAAACTTTAATTGGGAAGGCATTCAAATGAATTCTTGAAGATAACTGTGCCGTTAAAAGCGCAGTTATCTTTATGAATTCATTTGAATGCCTTCCCGATTGAATTGTTAGTTAAAATTTAATATGAGTAAACTAGACTTAATGAATAAGATTCTCAAAAAAAATCATCAAAAAATTCCACCGGGAACCACCCCAAATGGCGTCGGCCGGACAGAGCATCCTAAATATGGCCTTATTTGACATTTTTTTTCAAGTTCGAGGCCCTATCTGACCCTTATCCCAAAAAAGAACTATATTATATTTGAACTACTAGCTATGTAGCTAGCTAGCTAGCTAGGTGAGTGAATGTCTTGCCTCGGGAGGAAGTATACTCCAAAATTAGAGGCGTATGATTTCCACTAAAAAAGAGCTTATAGTCCACTAAATCAATAGATTAATATTCTCTATCAAAAAAAAGTTGTCTTTTTTAAAATTTTGATCAAATATATCTTTTTATTGGAAATTATTTTTACTACAAAAATTATATAAAAATATTCTTTATTAACGGTATAAATTCAAAAAAGAGAGTTGTCAAAATGTCATTTTATTGCACAACTTCCACCTCCATAAATCTATCGCCACTAAACCCCCGTCAGCAAATGCCATAGCCTATGGGTATGTAAACCATGTCCGACTCTAGACCGGTTCTTGTCCCAGACCAACCAGTCTTAACGGTGGGGGTAGGGGAAACCAAGACCAGTACTGATGTACCGAGTATACCCTTCCAATGTTCCTTAGAGCCATTAGAGGTGGCTCCACCATACTCTCACCATAAGGTCCCAACAACCTTATTATACTTGACATTCCACCATACTCTCACCAAGCTATGTTTAGATGTGATTTATTTTACTTATTTTTACCACACGTGATTTATACTCTATCACATTTTACTAGTCGTGCTACACGTGATTTATACTCTATTTTACTTATTAGACCAGCACGTGTAGAAGACTGTCTCCAAAACGCGGTTAAGGACTAGACTAGGCTAATGTGGTGTGTTTTTTCTAGACTAGACTACTGCGCATTGCAGAGATGCTCTTAGGGTGAGAGTTGTAGCACCTGAGCTAGGACTAACGTAGGTAAAGAGAAAACGAGTTATCATAAAGTAGGCCCACTAACAAAAGAGAGGTATGGGGTTACACTCCAAACAATGATTTGAGATGAAATCTGACTCTCTTTTCAACAGAGTGAGATTAAAGCTCAATTTACATTCCTTAAAATAAATGTCTGGTGGATTCTGTGGGGCACTAGTTGATGGGTATCATTTTTTTTATAAAGAGGTAGCACGGTTTTTTAGAAAACCGAATTTATAACTATATACTGAATTAATAAAGTAAAAATAAAGTAAGAATAATTTAGAAGCATACAAACTTTATCAAACTTAATATATAACTATATCATCATGAAAAAGAACAAATACCTCGATTGAATACTATAGAGGCATATTGGAGAAATATTTTTTTTAATAGGGCCTGTTCTGAATCGAGTATTAATTTACTTTGTTAAAAAAACTATAGTGATCTTAATAAAACTACAAAATCAGTCAATATTTCTTTCTGAACGAGTTTTAATTTACTTTGCTAAAACACTATTGTTAATTAGTCATATTGGAGAAATAAGTTTTTTTACTAGGGCCTCTGAATTTCTTCATTTTTGGGCAAACTTCAAACATATTATTGTATCTGTTCAACATTAATTATATAAAAACTAACTATTAATTGTAAAGTATTTGAAAACCGTTGTTGAACCGCATTACACGATTCCTTCTTTGTCGATGCGTGGAATAATTTTTTTCCTCAAATGATTAACATACAATTAGTAGTGGATTTCGTAGTGGAGCACATTTCCGTAACAACATTTGATTTAATAGAGTATGTAAATAGGAGTTTGCCCCGTAATAGGTTTTATTGTATTTATATTGTTAAAGTAGTTAAAAATTTACTCAGTGACATGGGGTAAGCGGACATTACTAGACAAAGTGAAATTCAATTTTTTATCAAGTTGACAAGTTCAAAGTGGGTATGGAAGATTTTATTTTTCAAGGCAAATTGAGCAATTGACAATAGTCAGTATAGTCAATTTTGTTGGACACAAACAATGATATAGTGGTAATATAAAAAAAATCGCTCATTTAAAGATACTATAATAAGTTTCCAAGAATATTTCAAAAAAATCACTCACTTAACCACAAATGTGGGACCAGTCTTTTTGGACCCATCGTAGTATAAAAAAACACATGCATTTGGGACCATTTCAATAAGCATGTCATAGTTTGTTCTGTTGTTCTCCATAACTCCTCCATAAGCGTGTTAATTGAAATAAAGAAAATGAATGTAAGGAATGGAAGCAAACAGACCGACCAATACTTCTAAATCCGAATAAGAATCTATGGGACCGAAATGGAAAAAAGTGAAAAAGGGACATCAAAAAGTACACTAACTATAAACAGCTTGACTTTGAACAAAAAGAAAGAAGAGATCACCTGAAGCAATTAACTTTAATTTATACTCTAAGGCTAACCGTCGGCACCTATGGTAGGGGTGGGTTCGGTTCTTGCGGTTCAGTTTTGACCTAAAACCAAATATAGAATCAAAGTAAAAAGTTCAGTTCGCTTTCGGTTCGATTTTACACTCCAAAACTTGGAACCACGGTTTAATCACTACTAGAAAAGGAGGGATTAGAGAGGACTTTGAGAGGGAAAATTGTTTGTATCTAATTTAGATAGGAATTTTGAAAGGTACCTGCTAAGATAGAGGATAAATTAAATTAGGAAGGAATTTGACTCATTACATAGGAACCTTGTTTCCTTTCTGTTATATTATAAAATAAATAAAATTATTAATTCCATTAGAAAGGAAAATGTCCCTCTCAAAACTTTAGGAAGGAATATGTAGACATAGTTGACCCACTCTGTAAAGACCCATCCGTTTTTTCTACCTAAAACCCACTCCTTTTATTATACATTTACTCCATGTAATAACTCTCACCAGCTAAGTCATCAATTTTTTACTGATAAAACTCCGTGTGTTTATTTCCTCCGATCCATATCTCACTTTCGGATAGAATAGCTAGGAATCAAAAGCTTTTCTGCAACCATTTGTTTCTGGGATGCACAATTATTGGAGCTCATGTTTCTCCTTCGATAAGGTTAGTTCAATTATTGGATTTATATTTTGTTTGTATAATCCTATAACGGTTCATTCAAAAAAAAAAAAAACTGGTTCATGATTACTTTGAAAGTTAAGGGGTCAGATTAATTACCTTTTGTAAAACTTAATTTATACTCCTTCCGTAGCTAAAAAAACCTTTTCAAAAGTAGGTAAATTAAGAATAGTGAAAGAATATATGAATTATTGAAGGTATAATAGGAAGATAGTCTCAATATCTTTTGGGACTAATGCTTGGATGATGTTGTTGTTGTTGTATGATAGGAAGATAGTAGAATAATGTGATGAAATGTAGGATAAATAAAAAAAAAAAGTAGTTGTAATAGTGTATTATTTTCAAAATTATTGAGGGTATGATAGGAAGATTTAAAAATAAGAAGTTTTTTTTGTTAAGGACAAAAAAGAATCTAGGAAATTTTTTTGTTACAGAGGGAGTAGAATTTTATGTATTTACTTTGGCCGTTTTATACAATTTTTATTTATTGTCCTCATATAAAGTCAATGATAATTATACTACACTAATAAAGCATTTTCTGTATATTTAGGTAGCTAGTGCTATTACGATTAAATTTTTGTCATTTTCGTAAACTAAAGTGTTACTGGTTTATTATTTTGCAAGGTGTTACTCATTCATTTAAGATGTTTTTACTTGCACCGAAATTTGTTGGTCTGGTCTAGTCTGTTTAAGACTGGTCTGCCCTGATCTGGTGTAAAATGGTCTGGATCTGTATGGTCTTTTTAACAAAGGTCTTATTTGGTTTGGGACTGAAAACAGCCCAAGTAAAAAACATCCTAATAATAATTATTATATTATTTATATTCACTATTATTAAAGATTAATTATTTTGTATTTACCAAAAAAAGATTAATTATTCTGTAATCTATTCTGCTGAATTGTGATTACTACTACATATTAATTTCCTTTCTATAATTAGATATTGGCTATATTGTAATCAATGTCAACATGTATTGCCTATAATTTTTTAATGATTGTGTTCACTAATTGGTTTATATTGATAAAAAAAGAGTAGACGTACAATAGTGTGGGTTGCATGAAGTTAAATTTATAGTTATTAGGGCAATGAACATTCTGAAATTGTAATACTAATTATAATCATAATAACATACAATAATGTTTTTTAATTCCAGGATTAAAATGGATCTGAGAAATGAACGTCTTTGGATGTATAATCGAGTCATACCTGGAAGAAAGGGATTGACAGATGAATTTAAGGTTGGAGTAGATCAATTTGTGAATTTTGCTTGCGCACAAGCGGAGTTTGTTGAGAACGGTGTAATTAGATGCCCGTGTACCAAATGTAGAAATCAATGCTACAAGAATCCCAAAGATGTAAAAGTCGACCTTTATAAGTGGGGGTTCGAATCAAACTATTGGCACTGGACTTGTCATGGGGAAGAGGTCCCATTTTTCACTCAAAGCGTGAATGATGTGTCACATATGGGGGGTGAAGGGAATAACATGTACGAAACAATGGTTCATGATAATTTTGGGATGAGCTCAACACCTACTCATCAAAATGGAGATTTTGAAGGGCCACATGAAAGTGCACAAAAATTTTATGAGTTACTCGATTCTGCACGACAACCATTATGGCCAGGATGTACAACAGATACTGAATTATCATTTACATTGAAGATGATGAGTATAAAATCATCATATAACATTGCACAAAAGGCCATGGATGAGATGTTAGATGCATGTAGTCGAGCAATGCCACTACCAAATAAGGTACCGTCCAATTTTATCAAGCTGAGAAATTGGTCTCTAAACTTGGTCTCGGTCATGTGAAAATTGATTGTTGTATTAACGGTTGCATGTTGTATTACAAAGAGGATATTGAATTGGGACAATGCAAATTTTGCGGTGAGCCACGTTACAAAGAAAGTACAAAACACCAGTCAAAAGTTCCTCGGAAAAGGATGCATTACTTACCTCTAATTCCAAGACTTCAAAGGTTATATGCATCGCCGAGCTCAGCTAAGCATATGAGGTGGCATGCTGAAAATCATCGTGACATCGGCATGATGTGTCATCCATCAGACGGTGAAGCATGGAAACATTTTGATAAAACCTATCCCGAATTTGCTTCAGAACCACGTAATGTCAGGCTCGGCTTGTGTTCGGATGGCTTCTCTCCTTTTGGTATGTCCTCTAAGTCATATTCGTGTTGGCCCATAATCGTTACTGTGTACAACCTTCCACCGTCAATGTGTATGACAACCCCGTATATGTTTTTGAGTTCTATAATTCCTGGTAAAAATAATCCAAAGGCTCAAATCGATGTATACTTACAGCCACTAATCGATGAATTGAAATCTTTGTGGGAAACAGGGGTTGTCACTTATGATGTGTCGTTAAAGCAAAACTTTGTGATGAAGGCATCTTTAATGTGGACAATAAGTGACTTTCCGGCGTATGGGATGCTATCAGGTTGGCAAACTGCAGGGAAATTATCTTGTCCATATTGTATGGAATCCACACAAGCTTTTTGGTTAAAGAATGGAGGAAAACATTCATGGTTTGATTGTCATCGCCAATTCTTGTCTATGAATCATCCTTTTAGGAAAAACAAAAACGATTTTCTAAAAGGAAGGGTTGAAAAGTCATATCCTCCTTGTCTATTGTGTGGTGAAGAAGTGTTGGAGCGTGTGTCATACATTCCAAAGATCACCGAACAGCCCAATTTAAAGATGCCGGGATATGGGGAAACACACAATTGGACCAAAAGGAGTATATTTTGGGACCTACCATATTGGAAAGATAATCTTATCCGACACAATCTTGATGTCATGCACATTGAGAAAAATGTGTTTGATAATGTGTTTTACACTATCATGGACATCAAAGGGACCAATAAGAACAAAGATGGTGTAAAATCGAGGATGGATTTAAGGGAACACTGCTTGCGACCAGAACTGGAACTAAATGTAGATAATGGTGGAAAGGTTTTGAAGCCAAAGGCAAGTTTTACATGCAATGATGATCAACGGAGGGCGGTGTGTGAGTGGTTACATAACATTCGAATGCCAGATGGATATGCAGGAAATTTATCTAGTTGTGTTGATCTAAAAGAATGTAAGTTGCATGGAACGAAAAGTCATGACTGTCATATATTCATGGAGTGCCTTTTACCGGTTGCTTTTAAATTCTTACCACCTACTCAATGGAAAGCTTTGACAGAATTGAGTCAATTTTTTCGTGATCTATGCTCGGCTAACCTACATGTAGATAAGGTTAAACAACTTCATGAAAGCATTCCGACAATCATCTGTAAGTTGGAAAAAATATTTCCTCCTGGATTTTTTAACTGCATGGAACATTTGCCGGTTCATCTTCCATATGAAGCATTGGTTGGTGGACCGGTTCAGTACCGTTGGATGTATCCATTTGAAAGATTCCTTCACTACCTTAAAAGAAAGGTAAAAAACAAAGCTCGCGTAGAAGGATCAATATGTGAGGCATATCTGATCGAAGAGGCAACCAATTTTGCTTCATATTACTTTGAGTCTCATGTTGAGAGTGGAAGAACTAGAATTGGCCGAAATTTGGATGATGGCGGCTTCAATGAATCTGTTCAACCAACCTTGTCTGTGTTCAATCGCCCTGGTCGTCCTTTGGGTGCAGTTAGAAGTCGATATTTGGATGAGAAAGAATATTTTGCTGCACATCAACATGTATTACTCAATTGTGAAGAGGTCAAACCGTATCTGCAGTAAGTAACTATAGTCTTATCTGTACCGTGTATATATAGGTTAATTTATCATCAACAACTAACATTTATGATTATAATTTCAGGTTTTATGAAAATGGATTACGTGACTTAAATCCAGGCAGCACCGATGAACAAATTGATTTAGCAATTGAACATAATTTTGCAAGTTGGTTTCGTGATTATGTAAGTATTATCTATTTAAATACTTACACAAATTTATACAACTTATACTTTATAGACAAAAACTAATGCATACTATTGTTCAATAGGTATGTAATCCCGTTAATATGGTGTATAATAAATTTCTTCATGATCTCGCAATGGGGCCACTTATAGAGGTTGGAACTTATAAGGGGTATATCATCAATGGTTACAAGTTCCAAGTTAAAGAATATTGCGAAGGGCGATCCACCATGAATTGTGGAGTTTCCATCAAAGGCACAAATTGTGGAAATGTTGAAGATAATTTTTATGGAATGATTAATGAGATTGTTGAAATGTCATATCCAAATTTCCCAGTAAAAAAGGTGGTGCTCTTTAATTGTGAGTGGTTTGATACGTCTCCTAACCGTGGTACTAGAGTTGATCCAACATATGGACTTGTAGAAGTGCAACGCAACCGAAGATATCATAAATTTGACCCATTTATCTTTGCACATAATGCGAGTCAGGTATATTATGCCCCGTATCCCCGAGGCATAAGTAATAAAAATAACTGGTGGGTTGTCTTTACAACTAGACCAAGAGGGACATTCGACGATCAGTATAAATTAAATTCCGCATTTCAACAATCTGAAATTCCTTCACATAACAGGAACATTACTACTTTGGAAAATGATGTTGTTGATCCTCTAGTGGATTATTCACAAGTCTATGAGATTGACGCAGAAGAGGCAACAAATGAAGAAGAAGAAGAGGAGGAGGAGGAGGAGGAGGAGGAGGAGGAGGAGGAGGGGGAGGAGGAGGAGGGGGAGGAGGAGGAGGAGGAGGAGCTGGAAGAAGAACCAGAAGAAGATCTGGAAGAAGAGGAAGAAGAAGGATAAAAAAATATTTGTCATTAATTTTACTTTATTTTTCTGATATGATACAATCTCATCTGAATAAAATAAGAATAAACATTCATTGATAAAAAAAGATGAACATAAGCGCTCCTAAGGATGTTGTCATTTGGATACAGATTTCATGGTCCTAGTCGGATCTGACATGTCTAAGTCTTGTGTGATTTGATAAATGTCTGATATATGTATATTTTGTCATACCAGACCAGACTTAAACAGACCAAACTACACCATATAAGACAACAAAATTTCAGTCCAAAAGAAAATATCAAGTGTAAAAAAATCTAGTCTCAAATTTATGCTATTTCATTGATTTGGTATCTAATTATTGTTATTTATTTTGAAAATAAACAACTTCCCCCAAAAAAATCCGCAATACCTCATCCCCTCCTAAAATTTCACTCCGTACATCCTCCCTCCCAAAATGAAATTACTGAAAAACTTCCCTCCAATCTTTTTAGTTTCCCCAATTATTTCCCTCCCCAATTATTTCCCTCCCCAATAATTGTAGCTAGGTTTTATTCCGTATTACACTTGCTATTCTTTGGAAGCACCAGAGCACCAGCCGCTGCAGCTTTACTCTTTCTCGACTAACTCCATAGCTGGAAGGTATGTTTTCGTTTTCTGATTCTTCCGCTGCAGCTTTACTCTTTCTCGACTCACTCCACAGCCGTCCAATTTTATTAGTTTCCCCAATTATTTCCCTCCCAATTAATTTAGCCGGCCAAATGTTTTCTTCCGTCATTTCTCGACTCACTTTTGGCTATTGGACTATTTTATTCAAGGTTTTACAAAATTATATGTTTGATTTGGATGACATTGACAGCAACTAGGGATTTCCCATGGATAGAGGTGGAGTCTGTGGGCAAATTTTACTAAACACTTTCTAGCTTTTCTAATATATCTGTGGAATGGGTAATCACTCCCTGTAACCCTTACTCCCTAACAGAGAAGTGTTCAAACCCTCTTTGGTTTTGCCCTATTGGTTTTCATTCTATCCATGTATGATGTGATATGATTGATAGGGCTGCAATTAAATTGTGTTTTATTGAAGTATAATGCTATTAGTTTATCTACTCCGTATGTTGTAGTATGTATAATTGTTTAGTGTGGACTTGTTATATTTTTTAATTTTAACTTTGCTTTACGTTTTCTGAAAATAATCATTTCTTAGATTAGTTTTAAAGCACACAGAACTTTGATGTAGGATTTAGGGAAACTGTATTCAGGTATTCAAGATTCACATTTGTTTTCAAGGATGTATTTAGGGAATGCTTAGCTAGTGAAATAATTTCTTTTGTAGTTGACTGTGTACATGAATTACAAAATAGCTTCCACGACATATCAAGAGAGCATATTTTCTTTCTCTATTAATCAAATGATGACACTGATGTAAAAATAGGGAGATAAAATGGGAAATACTTGATTGTTAAGTGAAACAGGATTCAGAATTGAAAATGGGAAATAATTATTTTTGAAATTAATATTTACTCTAGTTTAGAAAATTATGTCACAATTCAAATTGGGAATAACTGATTGTTTCGTAAGGCAATCTGCTCCAAAAAATTGTTTCAATGCTATCAGTTTGGTAGCTAATTATTATTATTTAGTTTTAAAATAAACAAATTCCATATCTGCATGACCTCAACACCTCCTAAAATTATTTGGCGTTGGTGCTACAATTACCAGTGTTTTATTGGGTTTCAATCTCATTTGTAGAACAGATGGTTCGTACTACTAATGAGAGACAAACTGGGAACACTTTCAGCCAACTAGCCTTGCCACCGCCTCTTAATACAGGACATTTATGGCTTCCACGTGAGGGCAGACCATTCAACTCATCTTCACCTAATAATACAAGTTCTTCAAGCGCTTCTCTATCGAGTCAACCGGAATCTCCAAATAGCACATCTACCTTGAGTGAGCCAAACCAATCCCCACCCTCAGAAGTTAAGAAAGAGATCGTTCCTGATGGGAAATCCGGGTAACATAAATACGTATTTATAATTTATTCTACTTAATATAAATACGTTTTTATAATTAATTCTACTTTATTGTCATGTTTATTTCTGCCTGAAATGGTAAACAGTGATGCTTATGACTTGTTTAATGCTGCAACAGATTCATTCCATGCTCGGCAAACAGATATGTTATGCCATGCCTTAAGAAAAAATTTGATGAGCCAATTCTCTCTTATAAAGAAGCCTCGCCTGAATTACAAAATATTTGGCTTAATTTATTTAAGGTATTATTTTTGTATTTATAAACTTCCTATTACATCAAGTAATTTAAATACTCAATTTAATTCGTTTGAGAATAAAGCGTCGATGTTTTTGTTCTCCTTGTAAAATGATATTTGTAGGAAAGGTATACATGGAGGCCGGAACATGAATATCGCATCCAAAAAAACTTTAATAGTAAAGGTTCTGCTGGGCTTTGACGGGCTCTGTCTGCTGTTCGAAAGTCAAAAAAACAGCCAAAGTGGATAATCAAGTCACTATGGACTCAATTGCTTGTCAAATGGGGTGACATAAAGTACATACAAAAGTGTGAAACTAATCAGAAAAATAGAAATTCTGATGTTGGAATCACCTTGCACACGGGGGGTTCCATTCCCATTACAGAACACATTCGAAGATATGTAAGTCTACCTTTTATAAAAATTCACTTTACTTTTGTTTTATAAACATTAACTCACTTTTGAATAATTATTCGAACTAAATTTGTATTTAGGAGGAAAAACATGGTCTGCAGAACCAGATAAGATGTATTTACAAACACACACGAAGAAAAAAGATGGTTCATTTGTCACCCCCAAAGCTAAGCAAGTCTATGTGAGTGTATTATAGTATTGTGTAGATTTATTAAATACACTGTATTTTAATGAAGTAATGACTTATCATTATTATTTCCACATTTTACAAATAAGATGCAGACTTTAACCATTGTTGTAATTTGCTAATAACCATATTATTGCTATTTATTGTGATAACAACTAATGCGATTGTGCGGAATGTGTGTTCATTGTTGGTTGGAGTACTAATCCATTTGGAGTGATACCGCAGGTATTAAATTTGTATCCACTAGTGTATTTCTTATGTCTTTGTCCCTCAAGTAATTTATTTAGTGATGAATTGACACTATATTGTTCTACTGACATTTTGTAGTCCTTAATAATTTTTTTTTGATATTATATTTCATGTTCAGGAATCCTATGAGGAGCTGAAGTCAAAAGACACAAATGCCAATTCTAAAGAATTGCTGTTAGAGGCTGCTGGCGGACATAAAAGGGGCGGAAAAGTTTCAGGTTTTGGTTCTGCCAGCGATTACTACTTCCCAAGTACGTCTACTACTGAAGTTCCTTCACAACCCTCATATGATGACACAGTATGGAAACATCGTTTGGCTGAAGTTGAAAAGGCCCACAAAGAGCTGATAGAATCCAACAAAGAGCTGATACAATCAAACAAAGAGTTGATACAGTTCAAGGAATCTGCATCAGTCATTATTGAAAAAATGCAGCGCTCTATGAATATGTGTCAACAATCACCGCAAGGTACCTTTACAAATGTGTTTCCATCCCAAAGTATGCATCACAGTTCAATCATGGGTTTTCTTCCTCACCAACAACCTAGTTACATCAATGTTCTTCCTCAACAATCTCAATTCGGACCTTTCATGAGTATGTTAATGCCACAAACTTCACAACTATTCAATACCAAGAATAATGGCCCGAATCAGGAAGACAATGGATGTCAAGACGAGGAAGATGAACATGTTTAGTCTTTGTATTTCAAATCAATATATTTAGTTTTTGTGATTCAGTATGTGCTTTTTAAGGTCTTCAAGAATGACTTCATCACTGTATTTTGGATTTCTTTTGGTTAAATTATGCAGTTTGGATTTCTTTTGGTTAAAGTATGCAATTGCTATCATGTACTTCGTATGTTGGTATAATTTAAATTCTGGTATTTGATAAATGCTTTGATAGGGATCTGATTGGTAATATATGTATGAGCGTGTGTACTGTGTAGTATTGATATGTGTTTTTAGAAGTTGTCAGGAATGAAATTCCTTTCAATGTAATTGTTTTAGATTAAATTTTCTTATTACAGTTGAATAAAGTAAAACTTTTGAAAGGAACTTTTTCCTCTCTGAACAAACAAAGTAAAAAAAAATTGAAAGGAAATATTTCCTATCAAGTTATAATACATCTGGTAGGGTAAGAATTTTGAAAGGAACCATTTCCTCCGTAAGGATTTAATACTTTTTGAAAGCCTACAATATTAGAAAGGAATTTAGGTAGGAACAAAAATTTAGAGAGGGAGGTTTTAGAGAGGAATGGCATTCCTTTCCAAGTTCCTTACTAACCAATTTAGAAAGGAATATTTATGGTTTAGATAGAGTATTGGTTCCTTACTAATGGCTCTATTCCTAGTAGTGAATTGGTTCGGTTTGTTTCAGTTCGGTTTTGGTTTTTTCGGTTTTTACCAAAAACAATTCTCACTTGATTTTAAATTGATATAATACTTAGAGGGATCAAACATATTACATAAAGAATGCAAGCACACAATACATCAACAAATAAAATAAAAATGAGAAGAGATAAATATGTCTTGAATTATATGAGATAGATAAAAATGTACGGAGTATATATTATTGATTTAATTTGTTTGTGAGTAGTTTGAAAAAAGTTCATGAATATATATGTTTTATGTGATATAGTTGAGATGAATATTTATTGTTTTATCAATATAAAATCTTTAAGTGATCTAAAAATAAAAGTTAATTACTACTAATAACTAGCTAGTAAACACATATTATCATCATTCCATATAGCTACATTATTACAGACGATGAATGTGTAAATGAATTTATAAACTAAATTAAATTAAACATAACACAAACATTATTTCTCTAACACAAGAAAACCAAAGACTATTGATGATATTATGATTAATTAGAACTAATGCTTAACAATTAACATATAAATTTCATATTTTAAATAGTTCAGTTTGTTCGGTTCGGTTTTGAAGGGTAAAAACCAAAATCAAACCAAACCACTTCGGTTCAGTTCAGTTTTTTACATTTGGTTTCGGTTTCTTAGCGGTTTGGTTTTATTTAGTTGTGGTTCGGTTTAATTTGATTCGGTTTTCGGTTTTTCGGACCCAGTCCTACCTATGGGCTTCATTGGTTGATTCTGCTAAATTTTTTGGAGTTGTGTCTGATGTGATTGGGTTGACGATTATGTTGATTTATGATTATATTTAAAATATATTTTACTAATTCAATAAACAAAAACTTATACTACCTCCGCCCCCCTAAGTTTGGGACAAAGGGGCGTGGTGTGGTTTTTAAGAAGAAGTAGAATTGTGCATGTGGTTGGTATTGCATTGATAAAGTGTGAATAAAGTAAGAATGAATTTTAACCACTCAAATATTACCAAATATGGTATTGACAAACTTAGTGGGTCAGACGAAAAAGGTAAAACGGGACAAACTTTGGGGTGATTCCCGATGGTATTTTGGGCTGAAATTTTTTGTGCATGTTCTTCATCAAATCTAGTTTATCCATACCAAATTTCAGCTAAATTTGCATCAGAAAGGAAGTCAAATGATTTTTGAAAGTTAATTGCGCCCTTTATATACATATAAAACACAATTAACTTCCAAAAATCATTTGACTCTATTCCCGATTGAATTTTTAGCTGAAATTTGGTGTGGATAAACTAAACTTGATGAATAACATACAAAAAAATTCATCAAAAAATACCACCGGGAACTTCCCCAAACGGCGGAGGCCAGACGGGGGTCCTGTAAGGAAATTCAGGACATGAATATTCCTAATCTACGGTAACTTAAACCAATTTAACCAGAAAAGTAATTTCAACCTTACTTTTACTTATTATTACACAATTCAGTGCACATCATCAAATGCCCTTTTTTAATTACAAATGCTTTGTGCAAAGTAAAAAAAAAAAAATAGGTCAAAACAGGCTTATATGGCAAATGGAAAAGAGCAAATGGGTCTTACCCAAGCCCCAAGGTCGTCTCTTTTGGGACCTTAGTTGCCGTTTCCATAATGGAAAGTGTGGGTCTATGTACAAGGACATTAGTTACTTTATTTTGCAACATCTTGTTATTTTAGCTGCAAAGTCTTGCCTCTATTTTGGTGTTTGATGTTTGCCAGCTTTGGGAAGCTAAAATAGACACAAGAGGCCGTATAGGACTATGGTAATGATTGAAGGATATTAGGATCCACTGCACATTAAAATTAATTTGATAATAGTTTTAAATCCATTTGTAAAAAATTCCTTGAATTCCTTTTAGAAATAATGACATGTCATAGAGTTTTCACTGAACAAAAGTATTAAATATGTGTAATTATGTTTTGTACAAAAATATAATTATTCACTATGTATTAATAATTAGTTTAGACTTATTGTAGTATATTTCAGAGTGTTAAGTCACTGATAGATGATGAGTCATTGAAAACCAGATGATGAGTCATTGAAAACCAATCACTAAATATGTCACTTTTTTGAAAAATTCTAATATAAATCACATTTTGTCTTTCGAGTTTAATTTAGTATGGAGTAATATTTATGAAAAAATGTACTAAAATTCTCTGCCTATTTTACTTTTTTGCATTTTATTAACAAATCCCAATCAAGCAAATGTTTGTTGATGATATTCCATTTTGGTTTTCATCTTTTGACCATCATTTGACCATTACTCAGTATATATCGAAATGATTTCAAAATAGGAAAGGGTTACGATATGATAATCTTTTTATTATTCTAAAGGAATCACTTAAACACTTCAACGAAAAACTATCACATAAATTTGGTAAAATAATCAAGCGCTCATTTATTGATTTATTGATTAATTGCTAGAGTAGGTCTCAAATTACTACGGAGTATATGGTTAGTTACATAAATAAGTGAACTTATTAGTGAAATTGCAAGACTGCCAGTACAAATTTGTAATTTATTTTTCAAACTAATAGTAAAAAGAGAGGAGTTGTCAAAACTAGCATTTTATTGTACAAGTGTCACCTCCATATATAAATCTATCGCCACAAAACCGCCGTCAGCCGAATGCATAGCTACCACTTATGGGTGGTCCGAGTCCGGTTCTAGACCGGTTCTGGTCCCAGACTGACCAGTCCTAGTGGTGCGGGTAGGGGGAATGAAGATCAATACCGAGTATACCCTCTCCAACGTTCCGAAGAGCCGTTAGAGGAGGTGACATTCCACCATACTCACCAACGTTAATTTTTGACAAGTCAAATTATGTCATCCAAATTGAATTAAGGGAAGAAGTATGTGTGTGTGTGTCTAAGTGATAAAAAAACATTGTACCTCAATATTAATATGTAATACAAAGAGTTTAAAGATGCATTGTACAAACGTTTGCACGATAAGCAGAAATTGTACCCGATCTCCCCCCTATATTATAAAGTTATAAATTTAATTATAATTGAAAATTTTTGTCTAAAAAAATCAACAAATCATAACAACAACACTCAATACATAACAATCAAAAATTAAGAAATTAAACAATCAAGTAGGAATAAAATCAATTAATAAACAAATCAAATAATCATATTAGACTAATCTACTTCCAAGTGCAATTGTTTTATGAAACTTTGTGAGTATGATTTTCATCAAATATATATCTTGTTCAAAAATTTTCAGCTAAAATTTAACCGGGAAGTATGTTTGATAAATTATTGAAAAACACCGCACCAAAATATGCAAAAAAAATGTCGTTTTTTCAAAAATTTATTTAACTGATTTTTTTATTAAATTTAGAAATGAAATTTTGTGAACATAATATACACTTCATAAAGAATATGCTTATAATTTTGTATAAAAAAATAGCAGGAAGCACCTCAACTAATTTCACCCTAAAGTTATTGGTTTAGGCCTCGAAAATCAACTTACCCACACCGCCTAAAGCCGCCCCTACTCACATTTTATTGGGATCATCCGATCATGTATTCCATTATTTACCATGTGAGTCCGCTTTGATCTGGCTATACTATTCATAGTTTTTATAGTTAAAGCTTCTTTACGTACTTCTTTTCTCCTTAGCTTTTATCTATTTTAAACACATTTTATTTGGATCATGTACCCAATGTGAGTTCAGTCCACTGTCTGTCTGTCTAGCTATACTATTTATTCCTAAAGCTACTTTAGGAACTTCTTTTTTTTCTTTTATCTACTTTAGTCTAATATTCCCTCTCGTGATCGAGTCCACTGATCCACTATGGACAGCTACTTCATATACATTTGAGACCAAATATGATATATATAGAGAGAGTCCCGTTCCTGTCCAGCCAGCCTGACGGGAACCGCCGTCCGGCCGAGGGCATTTCGGGCACTTCCTGATCGAATTTTTTGATGAAATATTTTGAGCGTGTTCTTCATCAAGTCTAATTTATCCATAACAAATTTCAGCTCAAAATTCGATCGGGAAAGCATTCAAATCATTTTTTTAAGTTGACTGGGTTTTTATATGTATACTTTGATGCAGTCAACTTCAAAAAATGATTTGAATGCCTTTCCGATCGAATTTTGAGCTGAACTTTGGTATGGATAAACTAGACTTGATGAAGAACATGCTAAAAAAATTTCATCAAAAAATTCGATTGGTAAGTGCCCGAAATGCCCTCGGCCGGACGGCGGTTCCCGTCAGGCCGGCTGGACATGAAGGTTCCTCTATATATATATATATATATAAGAGATCAAATACAAACCATGATTAAAACACTAACCTACAAACTCAATAATATGCAACACATTGAACTTCAATATGCAATACAAATAATGTAAAGATGCACACTGTGAACTTCAATATACAATACAAATAATATGCAACATTTTGAACTTCAATATGCAACACAAATAATATGCAACACTTTGAACTTTAATATGCAATACAGCTAATGTAAAAATGCACAATTTTTGACAGTTTGAAGGATAGCAAGGTAAG